AAAAAAAAAAAAAAAAAAAAGGAGCTTGTTTCAGGGGTGCTCTTTGGCTTGAACTTCTCCACACTGTTTCAAATAAAGTCATTTCCTTTGGGTAAACCTTCCACGCTTTCTTTTCCTATGGACTGCCTCTCCCTGTGCAAAATCTCTGTGCCACTACTCTGGGTGGGCACCCAGCTGTGGAGGTAGCCTCTGGTCATTTTAGCTTGCTTTTCATGTTGTGTACCCTCTGCTGTCCTGACAGGTCAGGGCAAGGGAGATTGCACTTGGAAGAGACTACAGTGCCCCTGGGATAGACCCTTTGTCCTATGAGGTGGGAGGTGTGCTTGGTGGAGAAAGGGAGCCTAGGAACATTCTGCCACACTCATGTGGGAGGGAGCCCTTTGTTCTTGGTTGCACCCACCTGGAATGAAGTTTCCATCAAGCTGAGCTAGGAGTGGGGAAGGGAGGGAGGAAGAGACTGTGACTCAAATGTCTTAGGTGCTCTCTGTTAGATATTCTTGAAAATATTTCCTTATTTGCAGTATGCCCTTAGGACAATTTCCAGAGACCTTTAAATGGTTGTTTTTTTTTTATAGTTTTCACCAATTTTGATTTTCTCATGAGGGAGTGGGTATCCAGAATCTTATGTTGTCATCCTTTAAATCAACTTGTCACTCTTTTTCTTTTTGTGGTAAACTACACATAACATAAAACTTGCCATCTTAACCATTTTTAAGTCTACAGTGCAGTTAGTTGTAAATATATTTATCTTTTTTTTTTTTTTTTTTGAGACACAGTCTAAAGCTGTCACCCTGGTAGAGTCCCATGGCATCAGAGCAACCTCCAGCTCTTGGGCTCGAGCGATCCTCTTGCCTCAGTTTTTCTGTTTTTAGTAGAGATGGGGTCTCGCTTTTGCTCAAGCTAGTCTTGAACTCTTGAGCTCAAGCTGTCCATCTGCCTCAGCCTCCCAGAGTGCTAGGATTACAGGCTTGAGCCACTGCACCCAGCCTAAATAATTTATCTTGTTCTGCAACCACTTTTCAGAACTTTTTCATAATGTAAAAATGGAGCTCTGTAACCATTAAACATTAACTCCTCACTTCCCCCTACTCCGGGACCCTGGCAACCACTGTTCTACTTTCTGTCTTGACGAATTTGACTATTCTAGGTACTTCATCCAGATAGAATCATACAATATTTGTCTTTTTGTGACTGGTTTATTTCACTTCACATAACATCATCAAGTTTCATCTGTGTTATAGCATGTGTCAGAATTACCTTCCTTTTTAAAGCTGAATAAAATTTCATTATATAGATAACCAAACTTTGGTTATCCATTCATCTCTCTCTCTCTTTTTTTTTTTTTTTTTTGAGACTGAGTCTCAATGTCGCCCTCGGTAGAGTGCCGTAGCGTCACTGTTCACAGCAACCTCAAGCTCAAGTGATTCTCTTGCCTCAGCCTCCCATACAGCTGGGACCATAGGCTCCCGTCACAACACCCGGCCATTTTTTTGTTGCAGTTGTCACTGTTGTTCAGCAGGCTTAGGCCAGGTTCAAACCCGTCAGCCTCGGTGCATGTGGCTGGTGTTATAACCACTGGTGCTGAGCCTCCATTCATCTCTGATTGACACTTAGATTGGTTCTATCTTTTCACTATTGTGAATAGTGCTTTTATGAACATGGATATACAAGTATCTCTTTGAGACCCTGCTTTCAATTATTTTGAGTATATACCCAGAAGTGTAATTGTTGGAACATGTAATAATTTTCGTTTTCTTTTTTTTCTTTTCTTTTTTTTTTTTTTTTTGAGACAGAGCCTCAAGCTGTCCCCCTGGGTAAAGTGCCGTGGCATTACAGCTCACAGCAACCTCCAACTCCTGGGCTCAAGCGAGTCTCCTGCCTCCGCCTCCCAAGTAGCTGGGACCACAGGCGCTCGCCACAACGCCCGGCTGTTTTTTGGTTGCAGCCGTCATTGTTGTTTGGCGGGTCCGGGCTGGGGATTCGAACCCGCCACCTTAGGTGTACATGGCTGGCGCCTTAGCCGGTTGAGCTATAGGAGCCGAGCCAATTTTCTTTTTCTTTTGAGATGAGGATCTCACTATGTTTCCCAGGCTGGTCACAAACTCCTGGGCTCAAGCGATCCTCCAGCTTCTGCCTCCCAAGTAGCTGGGAATGCAGGTGTGAGCTACTACTCCCAGCTAGTAATTCTACTTTTAAGTTTTTGAAGACCCACCCATAGTGTTTTACACAGTGGCTACAGTGTTTTATCTTCCCATCAGCAATGCAAAAGATTCCAGTATTGCCACATCTTTGCCCACACTTGTTTTCAGTTTGTTAATAGTCATCCTAATAGGTGTGAAGTGTCTATCTCACTGTAACTTGGATTTGCATTTCCTTAAAGATTAATGATTTCATCATCTTTTCATGTGCTTACTGATTATTCGTATGTCTTCTTTGGAAAATTGTTTAAAACTTTTTTTGAATCTATTTTCAGCTCAGATTTCTTTTATTCAAGATATTGGCAGACTTCCTTTGAAGCGACACTTTGGAAGGTAAGCTGATCATACAAATTTCCAAAGAGCTGTTAATGAAATGTCCACTGAATATGTTCAATATAAATCCATAAATGTTATTTGTAAAATCCAGGAGATAAAATATTGTACCTAGTGATTAGTTCGGTACATTAAAAATCAGGTATGGGCTCTGAACCCGTAGCACGGTGATTACGATGCCAGCCACATACAGTGAGGCTGGTGGGTTCGAACCCGGCCCCGGCCAGCTAAAGCAACAATGACAACTGCAACAAAAAATAGCCGGGCGTTGTGGCAGGCACCTGTGGTCCCAGCTACTTGGAAGGCTGAGGCAAGAGAACCACTTAAGCCCAAGTGTTTGAGGTTGCTGTGAGCTGTGATACCATGACACTCTACTGAAGGTGACATAGTGAGACTCTGTCTCAAAAAAAAAAAAAATCATATACAGTAGAACGTCTGTAAGTTGACCAACCAGGGGACTATAACAAACTGGTCAATATCCAGAGGTGGTCAACATAAAGAACTCGCCTACAGTTCTGATAACGTATATGTGGTGTATATCTGGTCAATTTAAGGAGGTAGCCAACTATGGAAGATCTATAATTGTATTATAGACACTTCATTTTATGACATACACTAGCATATTTTCACTTATTCCCAATGGAATGTGCCAGACTAAATAGAATCACAAAGGCCAAGGAATCTTTAAAATCCTCTAGTTCAGCAGTTCCCAACCTATGGGTTGCGACCCCTTTGGGGGTTGAACAACCGTTTCACAGGGGTCGCTTAAATATATCCTGCATATCAGATATTTACATTACGATTCATAACAGTAGCAAAATTATAGTTATAAAGTAGTAACGAAAATAATTTTATGTTTAGGGGTCACCACAACATAAGGAACTATTAAAGGGCCGCAGCATTAGGAAGGTTGAGAACTACTGCTGTAGTTCAACAAATCTTGCATATCCAGGGACACCTGTTCTCCTTTCCTAATAAGAGGTATTGTTAGCCTATGCTTGAAGACCTGCAGTGACCAGCAACTGCTTCACAAAGTAGCAGTGTTGGTTGAAAACTTTCTAAGGGAGAAAATCCAATCCACTGCTTTGATAAATGGATGTTAAGATGGTAACTACAGTTTGAGTTCATGTGACAGTAGTATCACCCTATTTTGATTTCCTTGTTCATCATCAGGTCAGAGCCTAAAACTTTTGGGGGGAGTTGGAGATGGAAGAATTCAAAATTCTTTGTATGAAAGCATTTGTCACCAAAATGAGCCTCATACCTTTATGCAGCGTAAACCTTCCTGGGGAAAGGAAATAGGGAAACTGCCTTTTTATTTCTCCTCACTGTGCACGTGTTCAGTCACTGTCTTGAGCACTGTCTCACACTTGAATAGTATTTTATCAGTAAGTGCATAAAGAGCTGACCTTTCCATAGAGATGCCCTGGAGTTTAAAATTATCAGAACAATGAAAAAAAAAAAGTAGCAGTGTTCTTCCTACTTCCTTATTTTAGAAAATTCAGACAAAAAAATAGAGATATCTTTGTTTATACTGCTCATTTTATTGAAAAATAATTTCTGGGCCAATTGTCAGTATCAGTGACTAACGAAAAGCTTATACTTCAATTTAACTCAGCTTGTTTATGAGATTGAATTAAGCACTCAAAAAAAACTTAGTTTTTCTGTTTTTGTTTTTGACCTGTTTTGACCTCTTGTTGCCGTGAGTAGAGTGTTGTGGCATCATAACTCAGCAACCTCAAACTCCTGGGCTTGAGCAATCCTCTTGCCTCAGCCTCCTGGCAGCTGGGACTATAGGCATCTGCCACAATGCCCAGCTAGTTTTTTATTTTGAGTAGAGATGGGGTCTCGCTCTTACTCAGGCTGCTCTCAAAATTCTATGCTCAAGCAGTCCACCTGTGTTGGCCTCCCAGAGTGCTAGGATATAGGCCTGGGCTACCACTCCTGGCCCATTTTTAAGAGGTTTTGTTTGTTTATATATTTATTTATTTATTTTTGAGACAGAGTCTCACTTTGTCACCCTCAGAGTGCTGTGGTGTCATAGCTCACAGCAACCTCAGGCTCTTTGGCTCAAACTATTCTCTTGTCTTAGACTCCCAAGTAGCTGGGACTATAGCTATAGCTGCCCGGCTATTTTTAGAGATGGCACCTATTATTACTCCTCCTACCTTTTCTCCTGTTACCAGTCCCAAATGGAAAACTCTTGTGGCCTTTTCCCTCTTCTATCCTCATAGATTCAATAAGGCTTTTGTAGTATTAGTAGTTTCTTCTGAATTATGACTTGGTTATGTGGGGTCTGTCTGTTTTATTACAGAAAGACAAATGGCCCATGAAGCAGCATCTATGATCCTTAACCTTTTATAAACTTTTTCTTTTCCCCTTGCAAGTCTCTGAATCAAAGCAAGACTAGCCATCTTTGCTGGCTCCTTTCCCTTCCAAGATTATTACATCAAAATAAAGGAAGGACAATTATCTTGTCTTTTTTCTCCTAAGACATAATTAAATGAATGAAGGTCTTCACTATCTTACTATTGGGTCAGCTTTGTGACCTGACTTGGGAGGGCGCATTTGTCAGTGCTGTATGTTACAATGACTGTTATCTTTCATTAATGTTGACTGTTTGGCATACTTGACATGATATTTTTTGTTTATTTGAGACAGAGTCTCACTCTGTTGCCCAAGATGGAGTGCAGTGGTATCATCATAGGTCACTGCAACCTCAAATCCATGGGCTCAAATGATGCTCCTGCCTTAGCCTCCTGGTAATGGAGACTACAGACTCATAGCACCATACCCTGGCTATTTATTTATTTATTTATGGAAAGGAACAGGGTTTTTTTGTTTTTTTGTTTTTTTTTTTTTTTTGAGACGGAGCCTCAAGCTGTCCCCCTGGGTAGAGTGCCGTGGCTTTACAGCTCACAGCAACCTCCAACTCCTGGGCTCAAGCGAGTCTCCTGCCTCCGCCTCCCAAGTAGCTGGGACCACAGGCGCCCGCCACAACGCCCGGCTATTTTTTGGTTGCAGCCGTCATTGTTGTTTTGGCGGGTCCGGGCTGGGGATTCGAACCCGCCACCTTAGGTGTACATGGCTGGCGCCTTAGCCGGTTGAGCTATAGGCGCTGAGCCAGGAACAGGGTTTTATTAAGAAGCTCAGATATTGGCTCGGCGCCTATAGCTCAACCGGCTAGGGTGCCAGCCATGTACACCTAAGGTGGCAGGTTCGAATCCCCAGCCCGGACCCGCCAAAACAACAATGACGGCTGCAACCAAAAAATAGCCGGGCGTTGTGGCGGGCGCCTGTGGTCCCAGCTACTTGGGAGGTGGAGGCAAGAGACTCGCTTGAGCCCAGGAGTTGGAGGTTGCTGTGAGCTGTAAAGCCACGGCACTCTACCCAGGGGGACAGCTTGAGGCTCTGTCTCAAAAAAAAAATAAAAAGAAGCTCAGATATTAAACTTGGGACCTCAAGCAATGCTTCCACCTTACCTTCCCAAAGTGCTAGGATTATTGGCATGAGCCACTGTGTCTGGCCATATTTAACAGGATCTTTGATTCATGTTGATAATATTTAATGATTACCAAATATTAATTTTAACTTTTATTTAATAGATACACAGTTTACTATAATTCAGCCTACACTTTATTTTGTACATTTAGCTTCTTTTCAGCTTTTACTATTCCAGCCTTCTAGCACGTGAAATACTATTTACTTTAGATAAATTACTAGAAAAGAAATTGTGGGATCAATCGGCATACATCTTTTTGAGGCTTTTCCTCTTTATTACCAAATTACTTGGAAGAATATTTTACCAATTTTATATCCAGTTAGAATATATCAGTATGTTCTTTTCTTTTAACCCTTGCTGTCGTTGAGTTTCAAAAGTATTTTTGCCAGGTTGAAAAGGGACAGTAGTAGTTCATTATTTTAATTTCCTTTTTTTGAGACAGTCTCACTATGTTGCCCTTGGTAGAGTGCCATGGTGTCACAGCTCACAGGAACCTCAAACTCTTGGGCTTAAGAGATGCTCTTGCCTCAGCCTCCCAAGTAGCTGGAACTACAGGCACCCGCCACAATGCCTAGCTATTTTTGTTGTTATTGTTGTTGCAGTTGTCACTGTTTAGCTGGCCCAGGCTGGGTTTGAACCTGCCACCCTTGGTGTATGTGGCCAGTGTCTTAGCTGCTGAACTACAGGTGCTGAGCCTAATAAGTCCTTGTTTTGTGCCCATTTTTCTTTTCTTTTTTTTTTTTTTTTTTTTGAGACAGTTTCACTTTGTCATCCTTGGTAGAGTGCTGTGACGCCATAGCTCACAGCAACTTCAAACTCTAGGGTTCAAGCAACCCTCTTGTGTCAGCCTCCCAAGTAGCCAGGACTACAGGCACCCACCACAACTCCCAGCTATTTTTAGTAGAGACAGGGTCTCGAACTTGCTCGGGTTGGTCTCGAACCTGTGAGCTCAGGCAATCCACCTGCCTCAGCTTCTCAGAGTTCTAGGATTACAGACATGAGCCACTGGGCACAGCCTCCCATTTTAAAGAAAATTTAATTTTTCTTTTTAATTTGACAAATCCTTTACTGAAGATATTGATTAATCCTTTTGTATTGTACATTGTAAGAATGTATTCAGAATTTATCATTTACCTTGTAGTTTTGTTTACATATAGTTAAATTAAAGGGACTGGCTAAATAGCACAATGAAGGTAAATGAAAACTAGAGAAGACAGCTTCATAATCATCACATTTATGGCAGTTTAAAGGGATTCCCTCCTCTGATTGTTACTAATGTCTGTACCGTGCATCTTACAGATTGAAAATGGAAGCATTGACCGACAGGGAACATGGAACGATAGAAACTGACAGTGGAGACGAAGGACTTGATGGAGGACAAGGTGCAGAGGAGGCTCGGGGTGAACCCACTCAAACCTCTGAATCTGAAACCTGCTGTCTTCCTTTGAGTCAGAACAGTGGGAGCGAACTGCCTGCCAGCCAGCCTCAGCCCTTCTCATCCCAAGGAGACATAGAGGAAGAAGACATAATAATAGAGGACTATGAGAGTGATGGGACATAACTAGCCTGTTAGGCGGTTTGCTACTTCAAGATTCAATTTAGTTTTATTCAGTGGTACTTGAACAGAGTTAATGTACTTATCTGAGTTACAGCGTGTTCACTCTTCACTCTTAATATTTCATCTTGAAGTAAATAGATGATCAAGCAAGCCTTCAAGTAATCTATAGTATTTATTTATTTTGTGACTGGTTTAAGGAGAGGTCAGAGTATATGAAGTGTGTTTGAACATTATACCAAATACCAGAAAATGTGAAGGACTAATCCAGAATCCAAAATCTTTATTGGGGAAGGGGGTTGTAAATATGAATTATAAAACCGTTTAAGATGCAATTATGAGTGTAAATAAACTTTGTGCCTTATTTACAGTTTTTGTCTCTAGATTCTCAGATATCATTTTTATGTGTTGTACAGTGGAATATCTTAGATACTTTCTGAAAAGTATTTACATAATTTATATGAAAATTAAAATATTGAATTTCATTCTGTTTCTCCTGCCTTTTACCATTGCCGAGCATGCGCTAGTTTGCCCTTGTAGTTAGGCATAGCACACAGATCCCCCTCCTCCAGTGCCAGACTTTTCAGAACATAGGTAAGGAAGAGGATGCGCCTTGCCAAAAGATCCCAGAGTGTAACCATTGCTGCAAGGTGCCTGTTGGGGGGGCACCGAGCTGCCCTGGCCGGGAGCAGGAGCAGGGGCCGAGCCTGACAAAGCCGGGCGGGGCAAAGCTTGGCTCGGCCCGCCCCGGCCCCGCCCCGGTTGCCCGATCCCGGTTTCCAGCCCCGGGCGGCGTGCGCGCTCTTCCCGGCGGCCGCGCAGGTGAGTGGGGCCGCAGGGGTGGGGCCTCGGGACGGATCGCGGACGCTGAGGGTCCGGCGGCCCCTGGCACAGGTGTGCAGGGCGGAGTTGGGGACCCCCTCGGCCCCTCGGATCTCACCGGTCGGGCAGGCGCTCGCTGCCCAGCCCCGCCGGGAGCCGGGGCCGAGGCCGGAGCCGCGCAGGTTAGCGGAGGCGGGGGTGTGGGTGCCGGGAGGGCCTTGGTCCCGAAGTTTCCATTCAGCGGACACAGGTGCAGTCAGGCCTCCAGTTCTTCCGGGCGCAGGACGTGGCCTCACCCGCGCTCCCATCCAGGTTCTCCCCACCTGGGAAGTCCCCTACGGCTTAGTTCCGGTCACTTTGGGGCGGAATCTCTGAAGACGGAGTGGAGTTTCGGTCAGAAGGAACGCTCACCCGGAGTGGGCAGAGTAAGGGACAGCATGAGAGAGTTGTGCGACTGGGCGCTCAGAGGCTGGCGCAGGGGAGAACCTCCCCCCTCCAAAAGATGCTCTGTGCCCCCTGGCAGGCGTGGGTTAGTTAAGATCCACAGTGATGGGGTAGTTCCCACTTGGGACTCCCCGCTCTGCCAGAGGCTCTGGTGCCTTTCCTTCCTTATATTCCATTCTATCTGACAAATCCTATCTTACTACTGGGGCGCGGAGGGGAGGGGATCCACAGTGACTTTCCCGACCCCTCGGAAGCCTAGGAGTATCTCCAGTCTACACCTTTCTTGGGTCCACCAAAACTTTAAAAGTAGCTAAAGCAGAGATTCTGTTTGTGTAAAGGTGACCAGGAAAGATCCTGTGACCCTTTGCTGGGAGGAACCATTTCTGCCACCGCTGTGGCTTTCCAAGATAAGTGTTCCACCAGGATGGAATCAGGCTCCAGGCCTTGAATGAAACCCACTTTGCCTCTGCGTGTGGACCTTAGTGGACTCTCAGTGACACCTTGAAAGTCTAGATATTTTAGATGTGCTAAAAAACAGCTGACCATTCCTTTCTAAAATCACGTATTTTGTTATTCCACAGTTCTTCAAATGTCTTACTTTTAAGTTAAGGATTGATGAAGTGGTCTCATTCAAATAAGCCACTTTTCACTTGTGAGGATGACTTACTTACAGTAAATCACGCCTTTACCAGTGAGTTAAAAGGGGCAGTATAGTATCTTGTAAATGCATATATGTCATAGATACTGAGAGAGAGTACATAAAACTTGCTAAAATTATTTGTAGTGGTTTTGTTTCTACATTTCTTACGAATGCATTTCAGAAGCTATGTTAGTACTATGCATTTCTCAAACTTAAAACTTTAGACACCTAAAAATCTGTACCCTCGGCTTGGCACCTGTAGCTCAAGCAGCTAAGGCACCAGCCCTGTTCACTAGAGCTGGTAGGTTTGAATCCATACTGGGCCTGCCAAACAACAATGACAACTACAACCAAAAAAAAAAAAAAAAAAGC